CAAAAAACAAGGTTCCAGGAATTGTTGGACCACCCACTGAGATATTTCAACAAATAAATACAGAGCTGGAAGCACTTATTCATTTATGCTAAGAAATTTGGAAGGCAGCTGCCTGGCCAACTGACTGGAAGAGATCCATATTTTGTGCATTCTAAAGACAGGGGATTCAACCAAATGAGGATATTATCAAAAATAGCATTAATATCACATGTAAGTAAAATTTTGCTGAAGATAATTCAAAAATGGTCACAGCAGTATATTATTGTCAGGGAACACCCAGAAATGCAAGCTGGATTCAGAAAAGGATGTGGAATGAGGGATATCATAGCTGATGTCAGATGGATCCTGGCTGAAAAAAAGAGTATCAGAAAGATGTCTACCTATGCTTTATTGACTATGCAAAGGCATTTGACCGTGTGGATCATAACAAATTACGGACAACATTGCAAACAACGGGAATTCCAGAACACTTAATTGTGCTCATGAGGAACTTGTACATAGACCAAGAGGTTCAAAATCAGGAAGGGTATGCATCAGTCTTGCATCCTGTCACCATATTTTTTCAATCTGTATGCTGAGCAAATAACCCAAGAAGCTGGACTATATGAAGAAGAATGCAGGAGGATTGGAGGAAGACTCATTAACAATCTGTAATAAGCAGAAGACACAACCTTGATTGATGAAAGTGAAGATGACATGAAGCACTTATTGATGAAGATCAAAGAGTATAATCTTCAGTGTGGATTATACCTCAAAAAAAGAAGACAAAAATCCTCACAACTGGACCAATAAGAACATCACAATAAAAGGAGAAAAGATTGAAGTTGTCAGGGATTTCATTTTACTTGGATCCACAATCAACACTCATTGTAGCAACAGTCAAGAAATCAGATGTCATATTACACTGGACAAATCTGCTGCAAAGAAAGATATTTTTAAAATGTTAAGAAGCAAAGATGTCACTTTGAAGACTACAGTGCACCTAACCCAAACTATGGTATTTTCATTTGCCTCATATGCCTGTGAAAGATGGGCAATGACTAAGGAGGACTGAAGAAGAGTCAATGCCTTTGAATTATTGTGTTGGTGAAGAATATTGAAAATACCATGGACTGCCAAAACAGACAAATCTATCCTACAAGTGCAGCCAGAATGCTCCTTGGAAGTGAGAATGGCTAGACTTCATCTCACATGTCATGTTTGGTCATGTTTTCAGAAGTCATTCCCTGAAGAAAGATATCATGCTTGGTAAAGTAGAGAGTCAGTGAAAAAGGGGAAGACCCTCAACAAGATGGATAGACACAGTGGCTGCAATGATGGGCTCAAGTATAGCAAGGACTTTGAGAATGGTGCATAATCAGGCAGTGTTTCCTTCTGTTGGACATAAGGTTGCTAGGAGTCGGAGCTGATGCAATGGCACCTAGCAACAACAACAACAATTAATTTTGCATCTGGGGGTTTTTGGTTATAACTTCTGAACTTAAAAGTAAGTTCTATCAAATTTTATCTTGATGGATGGGTTTTAAGTTCATAGTTTCAGTTTGTCAAAATAATTTTATTTCTTTCATACATTATATTCACCGTGCTTCCCATATTTCTGGGAATGTAATGCACTTTCTGTACATTAATAAGCATGTTTCCTATCACTTCACATTTGTGCTTAATATAGTATGTATATATTATTATGCACATTAATATATACTAAACATGCCTTAATTTTTGATGTCTAAAACACATGTACTATAGAAAACAACATTCTATAAAGTAGGGGGGAACAAAAACTTGCCTAGTAAGAATATAGTAGAAAGGATTCTTAAATAAGTAGTCTTATCTTGTAAGAGCCTTTTTTTTATAAAATCAACTATAGCACATCATAGTAAAGAGGAAAAATAGGAAATTAACCATTATCTGTAGAAGTTAATTAATCGTGGTTATTGTTAGGAGCTGTCAAGATGATTTTGACTCATACTGACAAAGCAGAACTGTCCTATAGTGTTTTTTAGGTTGTAATCTTTACAGGAGCCAATCACCAGGCCTTTCTCCTGAGGAGCCTCTGGGTGGGTTTGAACTACCAACCTTTTGGTTAGCAGTCAAGCACTTCACCACTGTGTCTCCAGGGCTCCTAACTAACCATTACTTGCAAATACATCTGTTTGGGTCCTCTAATGCTGCTCTAACAGAAAATACCACAGATAGTTGGATTTACCAAACAGGGATTTATTCTCTTACAGTTTAGGAGGCTAGAAGTCTTGAGTTCAAAGTGCCAGCTCTAGGGACTGGGTGGAAGCCTTTTGACCCTGGGCTTCAGCTCTGCCTTGTGCTCACTGAAGCTGGAGGCTTCTCCTAATTCAGGCAGCTGCTGGCTGCTGAGGCTGACAAACCCAAGGTCAATAAGTAAAATGGCACAGTCCTAAGATTATCAAACAACATGGCAGGCCATGAGTTCAAGCCCAGAAACTGTTCCAAGATTGGCAGGGCCAGTATAGCAGGTTGCTGAATGAAGACTCAGCTAAATGTAGGTTCCAAGTGTGCCAAAAAGCTACAGACCTTCATCAACATTGCTTCTTATATACTAGAAGCAGACTATATCCCTAATGCAGTTACTCAGCTACTCACAGTAGATTCCACCATGGAGTCTCATCATGGAGAAAACCCAACCCTGCCAAGATGACACACAACCTTAACTACCACAATATCCCTTGCAATACTAGAGATTTATAATTCCTTAGGAGCTCTGGTGGTATAGTGGTTAAAGCATTTGGCTGCTAATCAAAAGGTTGGTGGTTCAAACTCACCAGCCACTCCATGGAAGAAAGATGATGCAGTCTGCTTCCATAAAGATTTACAGCCTTGGAAACTCAAGGGAGGGTCACTATAAATAGGAATTAACTTGACGGCAGTGAGCTTGGTTCTTCTGGAGTAGTGTAGGGGAAAAAAAAAATCATCACAAATCAATTTCTTCATTTTTACACTAAAAATAAAACCACTGCCTTGAATCAATGCTAACTCACAGCAACCCTATGGGACAGAGTAGAACGTCTCCATAAGTTTTTCAAAGATGTAAATCTTAGCAAACCACCAACCTTTTGGTTAAAAGTCCAATGCTTTAACCACTGTGCCACAAGGTCTCCAGAAAAAAAAGAAAATCACCCAACTTCATTTTTACACTGTTGTTGTTATGTGCCATCAAGTCAAGTCGAATGTGACTCATAGCAACCCCTCTTTGGGTTTCCGAGGTAGTATCACTACAGAAGTAGATTGCCCCATCTTCCTTCCGAGGATGGCTGGTGGGTTTGAACCACTAGCCTTCTGGTTAGCAGTCAAGTGCCTTAGGCACGACACTAAAGAACCCTTTAATTTCATGATTAGAAAATCATGTAATTATAGAAGTAAAACCATTTTTGTGAATCATAATTAAAAATTATCTATCAATCTCACTTATTCAGTGATCACTGATCTAGCAGCTTCAATTATTCTAAAACACAGCTAAGAACCAGGAAAACAAGTCTCTGAACAACCAGAAGTGTCAACAACACAAAGTCCATGTACTAAATATCATCTATATCACCCATAAGAGAATCCCTCAGCAACTTGCTCAAACAAATGTGTTCATATTTTATACATAGTCCAGAATATCATAATCATCTAATTTCATGATCTATAAATGACTGGAAGGAGCAAATTAGGAAGTGTTCGTAACAAAGCATGAAGTAACAGCATGCAACCTGATACTGAAGGAGGAGAAACTAACACATACATGCACACACTCCCCCCCGAAAAAAAATATAATTTTATTTAGTACAGTAAAATAATTGACATTTATAATATGATAATCATAAAACCTCAAATTTATATAGTTTTACTGTTCTTAAGAAACTTTTATATTCATTACTATAGTTAATTCTCAAAAAGTGTGAGTTGCCAAGTCATGTATTAATACCATACCAAATTTTAAACTTCATGGGTTAGACAGGTTGAAAAACTTATATAGTTGGTATATAGCAATTAAAGTTCCTAGTATACCACATCATGACCCCTGAGTCATCAAAAAAAGTTTATATTTTATGCCACATAATCTGATTTGTAAGTCAGGGAAGCAGGCAATACATTTTAGAAAGACTTCCACAAAAAAAAAATAATTTGAAACTCTTAAAATGTCAAACCCTTAAATGAATAAAATTAAGTTACATGAAAACAAAAATCCATGATATCAAATCTCCATTCCCCTATAGTGCCAAAGAGATCTAGATTTAACTTACAATGCTAATAATAAATCCAAAGTCATTAATTACCCTACATTTTATGGTCTAAAATCTATACATTAAAAAAATGAAAAAAGCATACATAGTATAGCCATCAATTAGACTTGATTTATTTAGTTTAAAAATATAACTGAAGACTCTTCTTTTACCTCTACTTTTTAGGACCTACGTGTATCTAAGTGAACTCTTCTGGAGAAAGTAGAGAATGTGGGTGGGAGATGTCAAGTGTGAAAGCACACCCCCTTTAAACATTTAGCCTTATAATGTCAGAAACCTTCAACTCTTAATGCTGTAACATTTGAAGGTAAAATGAAAATCATATTTACAAAAATGACGAAAATAAAGCAGGATTTTGTTGTTGTTGTTGTTTTGCTTCTAAACACTTAACATTAGTACAAGGAAACACTATTCAGCAAAAGGAAATAGGGGAGAATAAATGAAAAATAAAGTTATAGTTGGGTAAATTCCCATAGTACCTTTTCTTCAGGGTGACACTTAAAGCCAGTTTAAAACCTTGATTTGTTATAAGAACCAAATAAAAAATGCACCAAGTTTTAGAAAAACAGAGTTATCTGCTCAACACTTCTAATGGAGCACAATCTGCCATCACCATGGTAACTTCTGAAAAACTTTCTCCTAGCTAGTGCCAATTATGCACTTCTCTAGCCCTTAAAATCCCACTCTTTTATTTTTTAAGGCCTAAAAGGAAAAAAGCCCAACAGTTAAGTCCACACATACCCTCTTGTTCAGTCCGAGTCATTTCCTCAAGCTTCTTCTGTTTCAGTGTGTCCACCACATCGGCAAGGCTCCCTTTGCGGCGTTCTGGGGTTCCAAAAGTAACACTGGTCATTATCTCACGGTCCCGATTCCCTTCGTCAGGCTTATGCGGTGAGGTAGAGGTATTTCGGAACGAATATAGGGAACACAATTTATTATTCTCTGATTCCTAGGAAAATAAAATAAAACAGAAGCATTAGAACATGTTTCTTTGCTTACAGTTTGAGAAAAATCCCAAACTCAGAATGAAAGTATATGATGCTAAGTAGCACAAATAAAACATATTAACTATACCTGCTTAAACAATACTAAACATTGAAGAAACAACTACCGAAAACTGTACATTCAAATTGTTTAGCTTTTGGAATTATGAAGCAGCCTCAATGGTTCAAAACAAAATAATAACTTTAAAACAGACATTGAGGTCTTACTCAATTACACCCTTCATTTAAAATAGTTCCCATTAGATGAACAATTATTAGGGTTGGAAAAGTTTTTCTTTGAACAGGGTACTTCTATTAGCAATAATCTTCCCACAGTCTAAGAAATATGTAGAAAAGAAAATAGGACCTTTATACTCAGAACCAATAGAAAAATTAACTTTAGTCTACAATGTTGGTTGGTACTGGAAAGTTAGCCAATCTGAATATTTTGTTTTCTAGGGCTGGACAAGAATCTTTTTTTTTTTTTTTTTCTTTCTGGCTTTACATCTGTCTCAAGTTACAGAAGCCTCTTTCTAGCCCTTACCCTGATACTTCAGCACATATGTACATGCATTTTTTTCACGTGGCATTTAAACATTCTTTGACAACATCAAGTTTGTTACAGAAACATTTATACAGAAGTAAGCTAGCTGGTATGAAGTTTAGATCCATTAGCTGAGGAGGAAAATCAAATCTCCAACTGAAAATGACAAAAAGGAACTGTTTGTATTTCTCTGTAAATCATAACTGAGGGTTGAAAGTAACAAATATAGTGTTCTGTAGTCATGCATCTATCTTATCTGAGCATAAGTATTCTCTCTCCCTATTGTTTTTTAAATGTGTGAAGTAAAGCAGCTAGAGTTTTGTAATCCTCATCAGAAGCTTGAAAACCCTAATTGCGTCTATAGCCCTCTTCTTCACCACAAAGAAAAAAAGCCCAGAAGCCCAGAAGCTTCAAGAACTAAAGACAAAAACATGAGGTAAACAATATAGAGCTAATAACTGATGGTAATGGGGGTAAAAAAGGAAATGGAGTCTGGAGAAAGAAGTTTCCATGTATATTAAGTGAGATAGTAATTGTACTCAATAAATGTTAGGTACTTAGGTATTGTTGTCATTGTATATAACGTAGGAATGAAACTTGTTTTCAGGGTTTCTGTGAGCAGATAGTGAGGGAACACTTGCAAAGTAACTAGACACAGTGCTGACATCAGAGAAGGTGGTGTTTAATATATGGTGGGCACTATCATTCTGAGGGAAGGAAAAAAATCTAGGAATGGGGCCAAGGAGATTTTTTTCTCTCTAGACCTGAGGAAATGTGAAGTAAAAAATGTTGATATGAGTCTTGAACAAAATTAATTCTTATGAACTTACTAAATCTAAAAACCACTGAATTATATATATTAAATGGGTAAATCGTGTGATGTGTGTATTATATCAATAAAGTTGATTTTTAAAATATTATGAAATAAATCTTAAATCCTTTTTTGCATTTCCATTGCTAGCACAATGCCCAGCACCCAGCAGGTGTTCAATACATTTATACTGAAATAAACTAAAAAGGATCAAATAAATAGGACAGGGCAGGGAAGAGAGCTCTTTATCTTGTTCCTAGATAATTTCCTTTGTCCCCCAGGAAAGATATTTCATCTTATTTTTGCAATAACTCTGGAGAACAATGCAAAGTAACTCTTTCTTTTAGATGCCAGCCACAGTATATGACTCCTTGATTTTTAGTCATAGGAATACGTGGAAGTAATGACCTATGAATGATTCACCATTGACCATAATAAGGGGGATTTTCCCATTATCCCAAATTGAAATGGAGAGATCCTAAAAATGGCTCTCCAACCTAAGTAACAGCTTCTGGGTGTCCTTAGACCCAAATTCATTTAGGCTCCATACAGTCTCATTTTTTTCTCTCAGAAGCAATTTTCAACAATCTCATTTATTCATTGAAGCTTACCCGTTAGAACATGTTCCTTGGTTTTTATTATGGAAATATGCTTACTGGTTTTTATTATGGAAATATGCTTACTAATCAGCCTGTATCACAGACAATAACTGTGGGTTCCTACTGCAAAGATGATCCACACTGTTCTCAATCTCATAAACTGTCCAAAGTGGTTTAACACTACCAAGCAGAAAGAGAAAAAGGCTGAAAAATCATAATTTCTCCAAGAAAGTCACAAGAACTATTGAAAAATATAACAAAAGCACCATCTTAAGCAGTGAATAGAACCATAAAATATGTTATGTAAGTCACCTTAGGAACAATAGCAAAAGTCACCATTTCTGGCCCTCATTATTTTACCTTCTGGTGGCATAGTGCCTAAGGCATTGAACTGCAAATGAGAAGGCTGGGGGTTCAAACCCATCAGCCACTCCTCAGAAGGAAGGTTGGGCAATCCGCCACCTCAGAAACCTAAAGAGGGGTCACTATGAGTCACATCTGACTTGATGGCAGTGAGTTGACTGAGTAAACTTAATAAATATTGGTCTTTAATGAAATGAGGTCTATAGACAATACATCTGATTTAGACAGATAGATAGATGGTAGTTAGAGAACTACCACTGAGTCTGCTCTGTCTCATGGCAACCTTATGTACAACAGAATGAAATGCCCAGTCCTGCACCATCCTCCTGATCGCTGGTATGTTTCAGTTCGTGAGTTCTGTTATGAGTTCATTGAGACTATTATGCCAATCCATCTCATTGAGGGTCTCCCCTGGTCTCAGTGGCTCCCTACTTCACCAAACATGATATCCTTCTCCAGTAATTGATCCCATCTGATGAAGTATCCAAAGCAAGTTAGTCAGTGCTCTGTGTGAGTCTTCAGGTTTTTGTTGGCAACTCTTTGGAAGGAGATCACCAGGCCTCTCTTCCTAGTTTATTTTAGTCTGGAATCTCTGCTAAAACCTGACCACAATGGATGACTCCACTAGTATTTGGAATATTGGTGGCAAACCTTACAGCAACATGCAAGCCACCACAGTATGACAAACTGACAGACAGGTGGTAGCATTTGACTTAAAAGATCCATAAATCCAAATCTTTACAATAAAGAGATTATTGTGTGATACAAAATCAATAATGTCATTTAAAAAAAAATTATTGTGACTTGGGTGAAAGTTTACAGAGCAAATTCATTTTCCATACAGCAATTCACATACACTTTGTCTCATGACATTGACTGTAATCTCCCACAATGCAACAGCTCTCCTCCCACTTCCTCCCCACAACTACCTTTTCCCTGTCTCCTTCCCTTGCATGCATGCACTCCTGCCCCCTGAACTGTCTCTCTGTTCATACACAACTGCAGTGAATTGCTTGATGTGGCCCTTCTAGCCATTGTCCTTCATTCTGTGATGTTTTG